ACTTTATAGGTTTCCCTTCCATTTAATTCTTGTCAAAATAAGCTTTTAAAAAACTTATTTCTTAAGGGGAACTACCTGCTCCCTGCCTGGGAGAGAAAGCAGAGGTCTGAAAAGTCCCTGTGAAATCTTTGGAATTCAAAAGCAATCCTGACAGCATACCGCTAACTGGTGCTCAGCAGCCAGCAGTAGAAAGGAGTGAAAGAAATCTCTAACTACCAGAGAACAGTCCATATCATCCACAGAGTCAAAACCTCATATGAATATTTGTTTGGAATCCAAGGCCCAAATTCACATAGCAATATGAAACATTAAACCTGCCTCAACCTTACCTTCCAGTCATCAGGCAAGGTGTTTCAGAGCCTCCTTCTTAGTTTTACCCAGAGATTCAAATCTTTAAAGCATAGAATCAGAGAATCACAGAATCGTAGAATCATTCAGGTTGGAAAAGACCTTAAAGATCATCCACAAGTCCAACCACAACATAACCATACTATCCTAACTCCAACAACCCTCTGCTAAATCACATCCCTGAGCACCACATCCAAACGGTTTTTAAACCCATCCATGGATGGTGACTCAACCACCTCCCTGGAGAGCCTATTCCAGTGGTTAACAACCTTTCTGTAAAGAAGTGTTTCCAGATATCCAACCTAAACTTAGCTTGGCACAACTTGAGGTCATTTCCCCTCATCCTGTCACCTGTCACCAGTGAGAAGAGACCAGCCCCGCTCTCACTGTAAGCACCTTATAGATACAGGAAGAGAGCAGTGAGGTCTCCCTCAGCCGCCTTTCCCCAGACTGAACAGCCCCAGTTCCTTCAGTCTCTCCTCATAGGGCACATTCTCCAAGCCCTTCACAAGCCTTGTTTCCCTTCTTTGGACGTGCTCCAGCACCTTCATGTCCTTTCTGTACTGAGGTGCCCAAAACTGAACACAGTACTTGAGGTGAAGTCTCACCAATGCCAAATACAGAGGCAGGATTACTTCCCTAGTTCTGCTCACCACACCATACCTGATACAAGCCAGGATGCCATAGGCCTTCTTGGCCACCTGAGCACAATGCTGGCTCGTACTCAGCCGATTGTCCATCAGTACACCAAGGTCCCTTTCCATCAGGCAGCTTTCCAGCCACTCCTTCCCAGGCCTGTAGAATTGTCTTGGGGTTGTTGTGACTAAAATGCAGGACGTAGATATACCAAATGAACTCCTTAACGGAGAATGATTACTAATTAAGGACTTGACCCTTTTTAAACTCATACAATTAAAAAAGCACTTGTCTCAAAGCTACTTGTCTTTCACAGCCAACCTTTCAGAGTCTGACAATCCTTTATGAAGAGACTTGGCAATGATGTTGCAGTTTGTCTTTTAAAGCTTTCAGAGCTTACCTTTAAAGCAACCTGGAGCCCTGGGCAAGAGGCACTAATTCTCCATCAAAGGGTTCACTGGCTCTAGGCAGTTTCCTATTGTCTCATCTGTCACTCTGTGAGCCTCCATGGCACCCCCTGCATCATCTGCCTATCATCGCACTCCCTCTTGTGTTTCTTACAAGTAGAAATGTAGTATCAGTAACAGTTGTTTCAAAGTACAGTAAGAAAATTTGCACTTGTTCCCCCCGCAGATGTTTGTGATCATGTTTCTCACAGTTTCCATGGAGCTTTTCACAATTCACACGTGCTGTCATCCTTAGATAGCACTTTTTTCTTCATTTTTTTAGACTGAGAGGCATTTTCATCATGTCATCTTACAGGATGCTGCTCTATCAACTATAAACTGGATACCCCAAGAAGTGTTCATTGTCTATGTGTACTATTAGACCTATAAGTTCTATCTAACTATGAGATTTGCATAGGTGCCTAGCATACCAATAAAACAGTGCCCACATTTGGCATTTACAGAGTGCTTTTTCCAAGTTACCTTCTTCAACGTGTCTCACAGTTTTTCCCATTGCAAACAAAGAAAAAACAAACATTCAAACCATCACCACACCACATAAAGCCATCTACTAGTTATTCCCCTGAAATATGCTATCTTAAGTAGATATACCAAATGAACTCCTTAACGGAGAATGATTACTAATTAAGGACTTTTAATAGCCTATTTTCCTTAATGTATAAGCAAAAATTGTATGGTTTGTTGGGCACAGGAATGAAGCCAGAGACGAAATTAAATAGTTATAAGTTAAAGTTCATCCAGTCTTCCTGGTATGAAAGATATTTCTCTTCTTCCATCCAATGTGAAATTAAAAGTCTGTAAAACTCATTCTTGATTCAGTCCTGTTATTCCACCAGACTTGCTGAATGAAAAAAAGTTTTGATCTGGTCTCCTTCAGTTATGTGACACATCACTTGTCTTATCAACCCAATCAACTTTCCTTGACATTTCAGGATGACTATGATGGCAGCAGCCTTTATCATTGACTCAAGTCCTTAACAGGAAATAAATAAATAAATAAATATTTAAAAAAACAAAACAAACAAACAAAAAACCCACAACTGTAGAACTATTACCTGCTTTTAAGGCAAGGCTCAAGGCTTACTGGGAGAAAAAGAAAGATTTTCATACTAAATATGAGATGTTTCTGATTCCTCTGATGAAATTAATTGTAAATAGGACAAGAATAATTCATTTTTAGAAGAAAACTGCCGAAAATATTGCCTCAGTGTGTGGCAGATGAGCTGCATTCTAAAGTCATGTGCTAATATATTCTAATAACAAAGGTACTTCAAAGCTTTAGATGAACAGTTAAAAGCTGCCAAACTGATTTTTTTTCCAATTGGATGTCACAGATGGTGCATGAAATTCACAGACAAATACTGTTGTTTAACAGCAAACAGTGATCTTAAAAAAATAAAAAAATCACTTAAAGGGACACTATTTACACCTGCCTTTCAGGAACTTAAATAACACATCCATGCAAGTTGGTTTAATAAGCACTTAAATTATAATATTTTTATTCATTTTTAATTGCAGACTCACAGATGATATTTTCCTCTGAGGTATACTTCAAGATTAGCTTGAGACCACCTGTTTGCATATATTATATATGCCCCACTCTGACCGTGGATAGGGCTTCTGGACATATCTAAATCATATTACATGCTCCAGTTTGCACTGAACAAAAAACAACTCAAATGCACAAACACAAAATGTTGTGTACCCACTTGGCAGATTAAATTTCTTGCTTTTTCCATATTTTTTGCTATACATATTTCTTCTTTGTCTTTCTGTAAGAGAAGTGGAATGACTATGCTGAGGAAGTTCAAAAAACTAAACAGCACATTCAGGTTGGCCCTTTTTATCTCGTTTTGAAAATCACTTTGCATGCAGGTGTGTTAAGAAGATATGTAAAGTGCCATATTCTTTATTTTAGCCTCATTTCTACCCCGGTATGCGTGAGTTAATTCTGACTGTTTCAATTTATTAAACTTTAAGTAAAAGCTGGAATTATTTATTTAGAACCTAAAATTCTTTTTGCATCTCTTTCTTTAAGAACCAGTGAATACAAATTAATTAATGCTTTCCTACAAGTATTTAAATATGACTTGTGCTATTTCCAACAGATCTGGATGACTACTCATTGTATCAAATAAAATCTTCAGTTTATATTTAAATCATCTACCTTAAGTGACTAACCAAAGAGAAATGGCCAAGGAAAAATTCATACACAAACTTTCAAAAGCAATGACCTAAAAATGTGTCAGCAACCTGCATGTTAACAGAAGATTATGCAGTCTCAACTCAGTGAATTAAAGAAATGAATTATACCTCCATATCAGAGTAAAGTGCTGGAGTGTTAATTATTTCTAAGGTCAAAAGAGAAAATACACTCATTTTACAAAATACAGACAAATCAAAACTACTCAGCTATGAGTAACAATTTTGCTGTACAGAAGCCAGTCTTAGAAATGACACTCTGGTTTTCTCGTTTCACGTTATACTTCAGTAAGGTACAGAAGTTACAGCTATAGCTAAGTTACACTTCCAGAGTAGGCTATAAGTCTACCTCATGTTTAGTCCTTTGTAGGCACCTAGCTGCCATGCTGGGAAAATATATCACTGATATCTATGTATAAAGAATATCAGCAGGTGTGAAGAAATTTCTGTTGTGCAGATTCAAGCACAATTAATTTGGGTCATCCAAGCGCTTATTTAGTTGCATCATCAATCACAATTATTTATTTTCTTAACTTTTAATCGAATTATACTAAAAGGATATAAAGAAGAACAAAAGCTCAAGATGATATTGACATTAGTAGCCCAAGAAGACAAAAGGCAAGGGACATGTCTAATGTAGAACAAAAAGGTAAGATTAAAAAGATTAAAAAGAAATGAACAAGCTTTGAGTAGAGCTCTGTATCTTCATGGACCCTAGTAAGTACCTGGTTCTTATGCCATATCTATCTTTCATGAATGTTCTCACAATTTAAAAGCCAGGCAACAATCAAGAAGAAACGGATGAATGGGAAAGGCCTTAGGGAAAGGCCTTAGAAAATACTACAGAGGGAAAACACACTTGAGTATCAGAGAAGAAATACCAGTGCTTTCTTAAATGAAAAGAACCAGAGGAGGAAAAACCGTTAAGATGAACAGTAAAATCCCCCTGAGGACATAGCTGTACTGGTGGTCTGAAATAGTTCATTTTAACAGTCTTGTAACCAGTTGCTCAAGAAATACCATGCCAAAAACTGATGCCCAGAGAGTCACTTGAGAGTATCTTCAAAAGCAAAAATTTGAGTCCCCAAAAATTTGTAGTGTTTCACTCCACAAACCTAGCATAGGCTAGGGTAAAAGAAAATGGAACACACGATTGATCAATGCCAGAAGCAGAGTGGGATACAAGAATCAAAGAAACCCCCCGTAGTGTAGCTGGGCAGGAAATCTGATCCCTGACACTTATTCATAATGCCCATATCCTTGTACCGCCCTTTCGAGACTTGAAAATGGTGTCTTGTATCAGTAATGTGTACTAATCTTCTTTTTTTCTTCTCTTTTCCATCCCAGGAGGTGAATTAGTTATTCCTCTACTTGTAGAAGACCCTTTAGATATCCCTCCTATTGCTACTCGTGCACCTTTCATTACACTTCCCCCTACCTTTCGCCCCCTCCTCACCATTATTGAGACCACCAAAGATTCCCTGTCCATGACCTCTGAGGCGGGGTTACCTTGCTTGTCGGACCAAGGCAGCGATGGTTGTGATGATGATGGCTTGGTGATATCTGGGTATGGCTCAGGGGAAACCTTTGACTCTAACCTACCCCCTACTGATGATGAAGATTTTTACACCACCTTCTCCTTGGTAACAGATAAGAGTCTTTCCACTTCAATCTTCGAAGGTGGCTACAAAGCACACGCACCCAAGTGGGAATCCAAGGACTTTAGACCTAACAAAGTCTCCGAAACTGGTAGGACTACTACCACGTCTTTGTCCCCTGAGCTGATCCGCTCCACAGCTTCGTCCTCGACTGGGATGGTACCCAAATTGCCAGCCGGCAAAATGAATAACCGTGAGCTCAAACCCCAGCCTGACATAGTCTTGCTTCCGTTGCCCACTGCCTATGAGCTAGACAGCACAAAGCTGAAGAGCCCGCTAATCACTTCCCCCATGTTCCGTAATGTGCCCACAGCAAACCCCACGGAGCCAGGAATCAGACGGGTTCCGGGGGCCTCAGAGGTGGTCCGCGAGTCGAGCAGCACAACGGGGATGGTCGTCGGCATTGTGGCTGCTGCCGCCCTCTGCATCCTCATCCTCCTGTACGCCATGTACAAGTACAGGAACAGGGACGAGGGGTCCTATCAGGTGGACGAGACGCGAAACTACATCAGCAACTCAGCCCAGAGCAACGGCACGCTCATGAAGGAGAAGCAGCAGAGCTCAAAGAGTGGCCACAAGAAACAGAAAAACAAGGACAAAGAGTATTATGTGTAAAAAAGAATACTTATTTATATATAAATATATAAATACTTAATGAGATTTAACTATCAGAATCATTGCAGTGAACGAGATTAGGAGATATCGTTTGTGGGAAAAAGTATTGGGAAAAAAAAATATCAGCAGTGACTGTTAATGTCTCAGTCATCACTTGGAGTCAGCAAACTCTGCCCTAATGTATTATAAAGCACACTTAGCGTTCTGGAGATGGCGCATACAGCTCTGCCCTGTTAGTGAACTTGGACGTCTCCAAATCTCCTCCTCCGCTGAACTTTCTGCAAAAGTAGAAGACTTCATGGCTTACTTGTTTCATATCTCCAAGTGAGTCTTTAACAATGTTCGTGATTCCTGACTGTATCAATAATTTTGCAGTTTAGTTATTTAAAAAAAAAAAAAAAAAAAAAAAGAAAGAAAGAAAAAGAAAAAAATGCAAACATTATTAAACAACAAAAAAAATATCTAACAAACTGATCTGGCTGTGTCCAGCACACCTAATTTTTTTGAGATTGGAGGAGGGGAATAAATGATTTTGGAGATTGTTGGATTTTGATTTGGTTTGGTTTCTTGGGTTGTTTTATTTTTGATTTTGTTTACTTTTGGGTGTGGGAGGAAAGGGTTGAGAGGAATGTTGTGGGGGTGGGGAGCATGATATGTGTTGAGAAGAAATCTCAGAAAAAAAATCCATAATAAATAAAGAGAGACTATTGCCATATATGAACTCAAAAGCTACTCATGGTGTTTACTCTGCATATCTGGTTGTGTTGTCTCTAGAAACCGTCGTCTTGCAGTAAGTTATTTGCTAACAATGCAGTGAAAGTATGTGATGGGTGCTGATGAAGAAAATTATGGAGAGCTGGTCCCCTTGGATCTGCCACCAGGATTTGCAAATGAACTGAAGAATAGATGGGTTTGGATCTGTTCTGATCAGAATCATTGGAATTATTTGAGAATATTGCTTAGTATGTGATAGCACAGCCAAACTATTGTTAAAAGGATTTGAAGATTCAAAAAAAAGGATGCTTAAGAAACGGTTAGTCATTCTGAGCTAAATATACCATGCAAAAATAAAGGAGCCTTCCTCCAGGTTCTAGTTCTGTGACTGACTGCAATGCATGCAAAAAAAATAAAAAATCAGTTTAATAAAGAGATCAGAAAGACACCACTGGAGTTCAACTTGTGATAAGACCCATAAAATGTATGAAAAGTTAACCACTTGTAAAAGAATGCAAAAATGTATTATTTTTTTTTTTTTTGACACAAAACTGTTTTTTCATATGTACTACTTTAATTTTGTAGCTTGACATTTCAGATCATGTCTTTCCATTTGCCCTATTCTCTCTTTTCCTTCTCTTTTATATAAAAGAAAATAAAGCTGCTGTGACACACAAAATAATAAAGAAAAAGGAATTTAATAATATTATATATATATACACACAGATATATTTATCATGGTATGTTTGATGGGACGACTGGAACAGAAGTTCTGTTATGGTCTTAATGTGGAATAAGAATGTTCTTGAAGAACAGAGTAAAAAGAAACAGAAAACAAAAGCAAACCGTAAGATGTGAAGAAAGCGTGTGTTTTAGCTTTGTCACAGTTACCTGTGTCAAGAAAAAATACCTGAAAGTTTGTTTACATATTTTACTACTATTTTTTTTGCTAGTATAATTTCTATATGAATACCCTGAAGGTGTATATACTGTTTTATGGTTAAATTGGGAATGTCTTTTGTTTTTAACTGATTTAATTTGGTTGTTTGGTTCCTACATTTTCCCAGTTACTGTGAAAAGGATTACTTACTGTATAGAAAATAGCCAGGTGGTTTGATGGCCATGCCTGTCACATACAAAAAGAAAAAAAAAAAAAAAAAAGAGCAAATGAGGGAGAAAGAGAGAAAACCAACAAAAAACAAGATGGATTGAGAACTCTGAAATATCAGAAATGTACACTTTTTCTGTATACAGATGAAAACTAATCAGCTGTTTAGGTTTAGAAATCTACTCTTGCTGGTGTTCATAAGTCGCATGAATATTTGACTTTGAAGAAGTGTCATCAAATACACACACGCACATGGGAACTTAAATTCAAAGAAACAGCCTTCTCAAACACTTAGAGAAGCCGCTTTCATGTTAACAAATACTTTCAGTGTGTATGTGTGCGTGGTGCGTGTGCGTGAGAGGTTGAGCCTTTTTTTCCTTTTTTATTTTTTATACTAAAAAGAAAAAAAAGACAGGTTTTAAAAAGGTATGAAAGCACGATTTTAGATGATTTAACTGGCCAAAACTATATAGAGTTGATTATATCTTGATGTCTGTAAAAGATTGCTGTTCTTGGAGTCTTGGAGTCTTGTGAAATGATTTCCTTTCTTCCTTTCCTTTTTGCTTTCCTTTTTTAAGTTAAGAGGAAAAAAAACAATTACACTTTCCTTTTTTTGTGTAAGTTTCTATTGGACATTTTTGGGGAACATGTGCATTCCTGTATGTGGGCTTCTACCATATCCCTGTTGCTTTATGAACAATCTTAAGAATTTTTCTTTGAGTTATTGTGATGTTATTGCTTTTTTCACCGTTCTTTTTCTTCCTTTTTGATTCTTTTTCTTTTCTTATTTGCATTTTGTTTAAAGATACGCTTAGCAATAAAATGTTCTTCCCAAAGCCCTGGATGTTGCTGGGTTTTTATTTCCAAAAGACTTATGGGAAATTCCAACCCTTTAAATAGGAAAAGCATTCTCTAATGCAAGTATCCCACGAGTGTCTCATCAATAGATTACAAAATCATGCTTGTTATTCTTTCTTTAATCCAATGAATCTTAATTCTTTCCTTTACAAGGCATAAATTCAACTTGGGAATAGATTCTACTTCATACCACTCCCAGTCATCACTAAAAGAGTAGTTTTAGAGCAGATCTTATTTCCTCTTTTTTTTTTTTTTTTGTTCTTGTTCTAACATTTGCATGGGCGAGAATATTCATACACATACATTTTTCATTCAGCTACATTCAGTTTCTTTTGTGAATCATATTCAAACATCTTACAGATCCCTCACAAGGCTCTAAACCAGAAGTTCCTGTTTAAACTTCTCTCCATATTTGTCCCTCTCCTAAAATCATAACATTCATTGGTGATGAGTGGTACCTAATATTTGCAGTACTGTAACAGTCGCTTGGCATGAGGAAGATCTAGGTGATAATGTAACTACGATATCTTCTCAAATGTTCTGAAAAAAAAAAAATTATATTTTTGTCTCAATGTTTTTCTTAAACCTGTTATACTTCACACAACATTATGAAATGTTACGTGAAGGAATTTCAGCCTGAAGTACTTTAGCCCTGTTGCTACAGCCGCTCCTTTTGATTTTCTCTGTAATGTAATGAACATTTTATCACTTGGGCTAAATGAAAGTCTCAGAAATGAGGCTTTATTTTTACATAAAAGGTGTATGCTTATTGTGTAGTTTTGGCTGATCACAAAATCTTAGAATTTTTGAGGATAAAAGGGACAATCTAAGTCAGCTTTGGAGACCCCAGGGACCATGTCCAGTCATGCTTTGAATACTCCCACAGACTCCAGAACCAATTTTAGCCATCAGTTTGGTGTCTGACAGCCCTCACAGTAAGCAAGCTTTTTTGTTGTGTTCAGATGAGATATTTTCTGTATGCACACCCATTTCTTCTTATTCTTTTTCTGGGCACCACAGAAAAGAGCCTGATTAAGCCTTCTTTCTATGTGCAATTTATATACTATTCATATAGGTCCCCTCCCTGAATATTCTCTCCTTCAGGCTGAGCAGCTCTATAGATCTCTCCTTGTACAGCAGATGCTCCAATTCCTTATCCATCTTTTTGGCCCTTTGCTGGACTTGCTCCAGTTTCTGGAAAATCTGGAGTAGACAATTACCATACCATGATCTCTCAGCTAGAGATATAGCTCTTTTTTCAAGAACCAAGGCTTGGTAGTTGCTTCTCTCATCATTTCCCTACAGGTAAGCAACACCTTACTTTTTTAAGATCCCTGCATGAGATACTTAGTGTACTCTTCATGAAACTGTTCTGTTTTCTGCAGAGCCTCTTAAGGCCAAATGCTAAAACACTTCATGAAGATTTGAGCACAGAAACACTCAATTCTTCCTAGTTCCAGTGTTACAGGAAAGGAGTAATGAGGAGCATCTTCATAGCTGGTTTGTTTTTCAGGTGCTTCTGTTCCTGCCTCCACACTGAGAGGGAAGGGCACAGATACTACTCTTCTCTACAGTTGTGGCTGGCTGGCTTACTTTGTTCCAAGACATAAGAAAATATTCTTCAGAGAGTCTAATCATAATAATTAAAAAAAAAAAAAAAAAAAGATCTCTGCTCCCAAATTCAGTCACTGAGTGTTGCTGACTCCCAGCAAAGGCAAAGACACATGAATTATAATCAATGGACATGATTTGACACTTAAAGTTAAAGCTCTGCATTTTGTTTGTTTGTTTAATTAAACACTTTTTAAAACTATCAGCACAGAGAGAACTTCCAGTATCACAGACTTGTCATATTTCCTGTATGTACAGATAGATAGAATCATTAAGGTTGGAAAAGACCACTAAGATCATCTAATCCAATCACTGAAGCACCCACCAATGGTGCTGGCTATATCATATCTTTAAGTGCCACATCCACATTTCTTGAAAACCTCTAGGGATAGAGGCACCACCACCTCCCTCTGCAGCCTTTTGTGTATAGCTGTTCCTATTCTATGACGCCAAATCTCTAGCTGCTAAGGTTGGTATAGTCCAGAGAAGACTTCACATCAGAACAAACTCCTGCCTCACATTCAAGCTGAGGCAATGAGAAGGAAAGGCTTCCAGCTTTCAGCATCACACAGCCTCCTGGGGCGACCAGAAACTCTAAGAGAAGACTATTGCCTGGATGGGTTCTGAGATGAAATTTGCCGTGACTGCAATGAAGTAATTCCAACAAGAGCTATCATTATAAATGTAGAAGGTTGGAGCAGGAAGTCTTGCCTTACAAACTCTTACTGGAAAACTTTCACTGATGAGGAGCATCAACATCTGTTGGGCCATTTAAGAAACAAAATTAAAACTTACCTAATTTCACAGAACACTACATCATGATGTTTCATCTCACTCTAGTTTTTCCTCAGATCATGCACACTGCATACTGTTTTCTGTCTCCAAATGTTTCTGATAACCTGTATTCTCTCAAGGGCCTGTTCACATCATGTTTCACTGACCTATACATATGATGCCATTCAAACAAATTTTCAGTAAACATTTTAGTCTACAGGGATTTAATGTTCATGGACTATTCACATGGATAACATGAGAGAGGACCAGAGCATGCACACACAAGAGTGTGTTGAACTGCATACGCCTGAAAAAGGGGTTAAAGGCATTTAAGTGGATAATTCTTACTGAAAACAGGGAAAATCAGCTACACAAATACCTGTAAAAACTGAGGTCATTTCACTATAATGGTCAGATAATGTCAAACAACTAGTGTTAATTGCTTGGGCTTGTTTGAAATAATATAGGCAAGTGGTGGAGAAGATCTCTGTAAACATATGGTTTACTGTATTACTTCCCACTAAAGCAGGAGACAAATTCAGAGGCCTGCTATAACTCTCCTGAACAGAAGTCCACTTCAACACACAAGCAAAGAACTGTCTGAGCATGAGTTATGTGCTTGAATTCATTTGAAACTGTGTGATTCCAAACTCCGTACAAAACCAACAGAAACACAAACCCCTACTCCTGCCACCAAGCACAAACTCAAGTCATTCAAAATTTTCATCTGTCACTCCATTAATCTCTTGTCTTATCTGTTCACAGAAGACAACCAGACTATGTTGAGCAACCTCAACATAGAACAGCTGGGAAAAACTAAACATGCTTTTTTCAGTGATTTGTAAGCTAGGCACTATGTCTAACAACTTCAGCTGGAGCACACCAAAAATTAAACTCACTGGGAAAGATATTTAATATAATATCAATATATTTATTAATCCTGCCAAAGACTTAGGTACAGTAGGAAAAAATACTTGGATTTCAAGAGTAGTTACATAAAATGTTAAAATACTGGATAACAAAATGAGACTGATTCACATAATGAAATCAACAACAGAAATGGGAGAAATGAAGGTTCTGAAAATCATCAGACATAATTATATCCAAATGATTTCCTCAGTTCAGATAGTACTTCACAGTTCTCAGTCTTACAGTTTGGCAGAGTAATTTGCAGCAAAAATAAGCAAGTGGTAGTAACAAGAAATCTTTAGTAGAGGGATAGAAAGTGGGAAGATAATTCACAAAGTAAGATGAACTCTTCTGAGGAACAATTTCCAAAAGCTATTTGTAAGAGTAAATAGAAAGGTAGAAAAAGCACCCACATGTAGCATGCAGTCAGGCACCTACTAAAGCAGTAGGTGAAGACTGGGATTTTGGTTTCATAGAATGGCTTGGGTTGGAAGGGACATCAGTGATCAGCTAGTTCCAACCACCCCACTGTATGCAGAATTACCACCCACTGAATCACGCACTAGATCAAGTTGCCCATAGCCACATCCATCCTGGCCTTGAAGTCCCCAAGGATGGGAAATCCAGAGCTTCTCTGGGTAACTTCTTCCAGTGCCTCACCATCCTATGAGTAAATAATTTTCCCCTAGTATCTATCTAAGTCTTCCCTCTTAGTTCAAAACCATCCCCCTAGTCACTATCCCACTGTGTAAAAAGTCAGTTTCCCTCTTGATCGTAAGTATTGGAAGGCCATAACAAGGTCTTTTCAAAGCCTTCTCTTTTCCAGGCTGAACAAACCCAGCTCCCTCAGCCTGTCTTCATAGGAGAAGCATTCCAGTCCTCTGATCATCTTCATGGCCCTTCTCTGGACCCACACCAACAGTTCCATGACTTTTTTTTATGCTGGGGGCCCTGAACCTGGATGCAGTACTCCAGATGGGGCACCACAAGGGTAGAGCATAGGAGGACAGCCTCCTATGGAGGACCTCCCTCTCATTGCTGGCCATCCCTCTTTTGTTGCAACCCAGGATACAGTAGGCCTTCCAGACTGCACACTGCAGGCTTATTTTCCAAAGTAAGATATAGGAAGTGTCAGCAAAACTATTGTTTGTGTAATTCAAATCAAGCCCTCTTTGTCCATCTGCATTATAGACTAGACTTTACTTGCATCTTGCATTTGGGTTTTCACCCCAAATCCCAACCTCACCTAGGCATAAAGAACAAGACTCTTTCAGTAGGTGTATTTGCACTCTTTAAGTATTTGATCTTCAACACTTCTGCTGCATCATATAATGCTTAATGGTTTATTCAGTCTTGACTATTTCCAGATTCACAGACATTAATCTACATCCATAGTTACCTTGTGAGTTGTTCCCTGTATCTCCTCTGTATAAGGGTGGAAAATAAGATAGAAAGTCCTGCCTGGGGTTGTATCTGTAGTTGTAACAAGCTTAGCCCTCAAAGCTTCCAGACTCCTGCTCTCTTTACTCATGTTTCTAAAGTGCACTGTCTGGTGCTGCCAGAAGTAGAATACACCCAGTCCTGACATTAACTTTAGCTTCTCCAAACAAAGCTCTGGCTGTCAGTTTTCAAAGACTCAGAGCATATAAAAGAAACACAGGAATTTCTAAAAAGACAACAAGCC